CCCCACACCTCACATCCTATACCCCCCCTACGCTTTTTACCCCATTTCTCAACCCGCCTCTCAAAACCAACCTTCCAAAACACCAATGCACAAAGCACCTCCCAACACGAAAGCAATAATCCCGAAAACGAAGCAACCCAACATCAAATACAACAATCCAAAACACAACCCAAAACCCAAAGCACCTAAACAAATCCTACCCTCAACCGTAAAATACCCAATATCCTAATATGAGGTGTGGGGTAAGACTCGGTAAGACCCTAATAGAAAAAATCTCCAAAAGGTTATAACCCTGAACGGGGGATTGCCGATTGCACAGAAAACATATTCTCAATATATAATATAAGAATATGCCAGAAGTTTTACTAAAAAAATCATCCAAACCTGACAAGAAATACGACGCAGTCATTGACGGCAAAAAGACGGTTTCGTTTGGTGCTACAGGATATAGTGATTTTACAAAGCACAAAAGACGAAGAACGAAAACAAAGATACATAGCAAGACATGGAGCAACTCAATCGTGGAAGGACATAAAGACACCGCATACGTGGTCGAGATACATTTTATGGGGAAAAAACAATACCCGAAGCAGTTAAGAACAGTAATAGAAGGAAATGAAGACAGAACGCAAGAAAGGCAAACAAGCATATCAACAGGGGATAGTATGGATGATGTAAGATGTAGAACGAGAATGTCCATAGCAGGCGATTTAGCAACAATGGCAAGAGCAGGAGGAAATATTATTTATTATACGGACGCTACGGCAGTAGCCTTGCGTGGCATACGCAACAAGGAATAGGTCAAGGCATTGATACTTATAATTGGATTAATGATGATAATGAAGAGGATGAAGATTTAGAACCACCTATTGATGAAGAAGTATTTGAGAATACACAACGATTCATAAGAAAGGGGGCGAGTAGAAGCAGAAGCCCAGAACAGAATGAACGAGCAAGCGGAAGCAATGATGCTATAAGATTATTAAGACAGGGAGCGAGCAGGAGCAGGAGTGAAACACCTCCAAAGAAAAATCCTAAGAAATAAAGATAAATGTTAACATAATTCAATATTGATCTTTCAATTTTTATTGCGCTTTCAATATCATATATTCAGTAGCATCATACTTTTTGTTGTATTTCTTAGGTTCGTCCTTCGCCTTTTTCTTCCAGTAGCGTTCGCGTCCCTTCTCGTTTTTTCTTTTAATGTACTCGGGGTCTTGTTCCTTTCTTAACTTATGATACAGGCGATGATAAAGCGCCAACTGTTCCTTAACTTGCTCAAATGTCAGACTGTTCGCAAGTTCCTGAATAGTTTTAGTTTCTGTGTTCTCGGAAGTCATTTAACTTATTCTATATATTATAAATATCTTTTCTTTAAGTATGTTTTTTGCATTCACCAGTATTTAACAGAAAACGCTTAAAGAAATAATAGCTTATATTATTAGTATATCTGCATAATTATGATTAAAAGACTTATAAAGAATTACATCCAGAACCTCAAAAGCATAAGAGACGCTAAACAGGGCAAAGTGCCAAACCAAACAATGGCTAAAATTAGCAATGTCATAAACTTATACGAAGAACGCAAAATATCACATTTCACAACAGCGGTAAATTTAATAAATGGGATGACGATAGGCAATGTCAAAGCAAGGGAAAAAGGAATAAAGCAATATGAAAAGGCGGTGGCAAAATACGAGGACAAAGCACCAATAACCGAAAGGATGAAAGCAACAGTAAAGAAAGCGAGGAAGGGCAAGGAAGTTAAGGAAGTTGTAAGAAAAACCGATAAACAACCTGTATTAAAAAGAAAGGCCATTGGCGGTTTATCAACCAAGGCAAAAGACATTTTCAAAGGCAGGAAAAACTACGATGTTAAGTATATGCTGCTTTCTATCAATAACCGTTCAGGCGCTAAAAGGGCATCATGTATATTGGATGGTGTAGCATACTATCCCTTAATTCTTCTTACCCGTGGGAACGCAAGTGTAATAGGAAGTGCCAATGTGAAAGCAAACGAATTCATTGAAACATTAGTTAGGAGGAGGATAAAACAATACCACGACACCGAAAAGTTCTTATTTAGAAAACTAATGATTACTATGAACTCAAGTAGCGAGTTTACGGAGGCAACAGGACACCTGATAGAATATGCTGATGCCATTAGAATTGAAAGCGTTGAGATTGTTGAAACAGACACGGGCGGATACGACGAGAGACAAGAAACCCTAAACCCTAAACCCTAAACCCTAAACCCTAAACCCAAGGGCCTCCTTGGCAGTGCCCGACCCCGCCATGGCCGATTGAATTAGTCTGGGGCTCGGGGTTCGTTTCGGGTTTAGGGCTCAGGGTTCAGGGTTTAGGGCTCAGGGTTTAGGGTTTAGGGTTCAGGGCTAAGGGTTCAGGGTTTAGGGTTTAGGGTTTAGGGTTTAGGGTTTAGGGCTCAGGGTTCAACAGTTTAAGGTTTGGGGTTCAGGGCTTTGTGTTTAGAGATCTGAGTTGAAGCTTAAGGGGTTGGGGTGGGGGTCCTATGGATTTCGGTTGAGGGTTTGCCCTGCGGGTTTAGGCCTCCATCTACGAATTGATATGCCACTTGCAGACATCCAACTCCCGCCGTCGGAACCACAAATGGCTTGGCCGGGATGCAAAACTAATATTAGTACGCTACTACTAACTGTTAAGCACAAGCTCCTAATTACGAATGACTGACTACTACTTAATACTTGCCCTAAACCCTAAACCCTAAACCCTAAACCCTAAACCCTAAACCCTAAACCCTAAACCCTAAAACCCTAAACCCTAAACCCAAACAAATACTAGTACCCAACTAACCCAAGCCAACTCCGCACTCTGAAACTCGAAAGTCCTACAATGATTAGGGTTGTGGGGCTTAAGGGCATTACAAACCCCCCTAAACCCTAAACCCTAAACCCTAAACCCTAAACCGGGCCCCCAACTTAGATCTCGCATCACCCCCACATATCATGTTTCAGTTCAGGGTTCATGGTCTGGGTCCTTTTAGGGTCCTTTTTATAAGGGTGCCGTACTATCTTGGGGACCTAAAAAGGGACCCTAATTTAGACAACTACCCATATCTGAATAAAGGTCCGTTTTTAGAGTCCTGTTTATAAGGGTGCCGTACTATTCTGGTGACTAAAAAGGGGCCCTAATTTAGAGAACTACCTACATGACAATCTTAGCCCAGTCTGAAACCCCAAATCCAAATCCTATGAGAAGCGGGAAGAGCCTTACGACTAAACCACAAACCCTGCACCCTATAAAGACCCTGAGTTGCAATACTTTGTTTTGGGTATCTGATTTTCAAAATATAGGGTCTTGATTGGGTTATCTATTGAAACGGTACAGCAAATCATAGCAATTCCGTGGCTAGGGAATTCCCTGATACCCTAAATTTTCGAACCAAGACTAACAACCCCTGATTGGAGCCTACATACCAACTTTTTCCATACTTCTTCCTATTAAAACTGTTGCAATAATCACCCGTATGACGTTGTTGCGAGCTTTAGTATCATTTTTGCTAGTAGTACTACTGCTAATTACCCTTATTCTTCTTACTGTTCTATTATTCTTGTTATGGTTACTATGCTTACTATAGATGTTGTTACCATGAAAACTGTTATACTTGTTGAAGAGTACAAGGCTTCAAAGGGTTTAGATAATGGGGTTCGGGCAGCCTTTGGAGGGCTTGGCGGCGTTAATCGGACCCCCAGAAAAGCACCTAAGCAAAGACTCGGATGGGGATCTCCCGTATAGACTCCCTTATAATGAAGCCCAATAAGGTAGGGCTTAGGCTTGCTCTAAACCCTGAGCCCTAAACCCTAAACCCTAAACCTTAATTTTAGAGGAAACCTTGATGCCAGAGAAACGGACGCCTCAGCAGCCGCCGGGCCTGCGTCGGGCGGAAGCAGGGTTGGAGGGTTTGGGGGCTGCAGAAAGGGTTTAGGGTTTAGGGGTTTAGGGTTTAGGGTTTGGGGTTTAGGGTTTAGGGTTTAGGGCTTAGGGTTGAGGGTTTAGGGTTTAGGGTTTAGGGGTGCCGTCTTAAGTACTGGTCGGGTTTAAGGGTTTAGGATTTTGGGGCTTTCAAGGTTTACGGCTTTTGAGGTTTTAGGCAGGGGCAGAAGGGCTTATTTAGGTAGGTCAATTGTGGCCG